AAAGTAAAGAAATGAAAAAATAAAATAAAAATAATAAAATGTTTATGTGTTTTGACGCATGATTAAATCATTTCTAACTATTATTATTAATTACTATTATTATTATTGTTATTATTATTAGTATTTAACTATTGAAAATATTATGTCGAATTCGAGAATAATTGACATTAAAATTCTCTCTCTCTTTCTCTCTCTCTTTCTCTCTTTCTCTCTTTTTCTCTTTTTCTCTCATCTTTATGGGAATACGAGTAAAATACTTTTCCTACAAAACTTTTCCCCCATAGTTATATTCCTGTTATAAAAATTATAATAAATATTTTGCGATCTAATAATTGTAAAGTTAATAAAAAATATTTGACAATGATAAAAGAAAGAAAAAAAGAAAGAAAGAAAGAAATGAAACAAATAAAAAAAAAAACATAAAAAAATAAAAAGAAAGAAAACAAAAAAAAAACACAATGCACAGTAAAATTGAATCAAATAAAAAAAAAATAAACTTTGTTTATATAAAAATTAATACGTCCCATTAAAAATCCTGCAAAAACAAAAAAAATAATTTCAAATCAAAACGATTACAATCTGACGTAATTTTTGTCATAAGATTTCGTTGGTTGTTGATTGTTATTAATAATATCGTCGTCCTTTTTTTTATTAACATTTCTCGCGTCCAATAGGATTGGTTGTTCCTCGTCCCTTAAAAACAACGTTGTTGTAGGTGTTGTAGTTGTCGCATTATTGTCTTGCAATGATTGCTACAATTGTTAATTTTATGTTCAGAAATATTTTATTATTTATTTATTTTTTTATTTTTTTTTTTTATTACTAAAGTGACTTACTTGCATAACGTTTATGAGAAATAGAAAGGCAAGTAATGTTAAAGCACTCAAAGCAGCATTGTTACCACCACCTTTGTGTCCTTTATAACCACTGAAATGTAAACAATGAAAAAAAAGAAGTTGACGATGAAAAAGAAGAAATTGACGATGAAAAAGATGATGAAGATGAAGAAGATGAAGAAGTTCTTTTAACACGTTCTGTGCCACATGTATCACCAGTGGTACACGTTAAACTTGTTCTTCAGGCCACGTGTACCACCGATGGTACATTTACAATTAAACATATTTATCTAATGCACTGAAAATATATGTTTATAACAAATTTAAAATATTCTTATTAAAATATTGATGCATTATACAAAATGTAGTATAGAACAAAGCACATAAGTTTAATTAATTGTTACATTTACAATAATTAATAATTATATGTAATGGTTGATTTTGTTAAAGCAAAATTAAATAGTTTGAATGACAAGTCAGGTAAAAAGGGCTTGGCATGGCACGTGTTAATCTTAATGATGATAAACATATTATTAAAAGATTTTTTCATAATATTTGTGTGATAATAACCCTTTAGAACTGTGATGATAAGAATCACCCCATCCACTGTGATAACGATCGACAGGTGTGTAAGGAATTTTTCCTGAAGAACCAAAATTCATCAATGATTTAAACGTCATCTTTATCTGAAACAATAATAACAATAATAATAATAATAATAATAATAATTAAAACAAAATACGAAATAAATAATACGAATATCATAATATAGAATTTTATTTCATTGCAATTGTTTTGTTATTTTTTTTATTAAATTGTATTTGTTTTAATTTACACACACAAGTATTAAAAGAATAAAATAATATTTTAATTTTTAATGAAAATATTTGAATGAAAAATAGAAATATTTATTGCAAAAGAATTTTTTTTTAGAAAATAATTTTTATATTTATTTATTTTTGCATAATTGCATCACCTATTTATTGGATTATATTTTGTATATAAAAATAATTCATTGAATTTGATTTATTTATTCATTATTTAATTGATAATTAAATTATTATTCTTTTTAATATTTAAAAAAGATTGTTTTTAATTTTTTTTCTTTTATTTTATTTTTGTTTAAAATTGTAAAACTGTAAAAATATACAACTTTTTATATTCAAAAGCAGATAAACTTATTTGATTTATTTGATATAAATTTATATTTGTTAGTGTTTTAAAAAAAAAATTGTTTTTCTTTTTTTCTTTTATTTTTATTCAAAAATGTAAAAATATAAAACTTTTTATGGTCAAAAGTAGAAAACGTAAATTTTCAACACGTTATTCGATTTATTTCAGTATTCTTTCATCATACACGTATTCAAAATGTGTACACGTTCGTTTTACATAAGAAAACAGATAGACGTATGAATTCACGAAAGGTTCATTCACGTAAAAGATTTAAAAAAAAAAATAAAAAATACGTGGAAAACATACACGTAGTTCTTTGACCTCATACGTTCTGGGAATGCGGTCGATACGGAACTCTGCGTATCATTTTTACTACATGTTTTTTTTTTTTTTTTATTGTGTAACTTGGCAAACAGGTTGGTGAATATATTTGAATGAAAATTTGTAAAAAGGGGTTTTTTCTCTCTTTCTTTTTATTTTTTGTCTATTTCGTTCATACGTTTATTTTGTTTCAATTTAAATAATCTGATGGATTAATTTCATGTGTGTACTCGTATGTATTTTATTCATTGAAAATATTCCATAGAATATTAGAGAATATTATTTGTTTACAGGGTAGTTAGAATAGTTAATATTTTTCGAAGAATTTTAAATAATAAAAATAATCATAATTATTTGAATTTTTTATTAGTTTCATTACAATATATAATAATATCATAACATCGTTAATATTATTATGTATATTTAATATTATTTTCATTTGTTGAGTATAATATTTAATTGCTTGGAAAATTCGTTTAATGATTTAAATAAAAAAAAAAAAAAATATTTTTCGAAGATAAAATTTAATTTTTAATCTTTTTTAAATCTAATTTAAATTTTATCAAATAATTAACTTAATAAAATTTTTTAATTTAAATTTATAATATTTAATTAATATTAATTAATTAAATAATTTATATTTTATTTATTGACCTAATAATAATAATAATATTGAAATATATATATATTTACGTACATTTAATTTTACAAATATAATATTTCCCTCTTATTTTATTTTTTTTTTTTAAATATTATATACACAGTGTACTGTAAAATACATATATATATCAATATTTTTAAATGCTTGTTAGTAATTTGAATTTAAAAAAAAAATATAACTTTAAAAATATTTTTATTAATATTACAAAATTTTATTAGTCTTTCATAAAAATCAAAATGTTCAAATAATTACGTGCAATTTTTGTAAAACATGTCTGAATGTTGTAAAAAAAAAAAAAAAGAAAAGAAAAAACAACGCCAATTTGTTCGAGTAAAATATATCTGTGAAGAAGTTTTAGAGAGATAGACCACACACCGCTGATGTTTTGCTTACCTTTGCTAAATTTCAAAGGTATTTCTGACGCAAAGTGTTGAAAATATTTCACAGATGGTTGAGAGACGTAAAACGAAAGAACTTTCTTAAACGAGATACATAATACGACTGGGGTTTCTGTCATCTACTGAAAATTCATTTGCTCGACTTTTTATTATGTTTTTTTTTTCTTTTTATTTTCTTGTCACGGTTTACGCGTACCTTTGAGACTTGTGCGTTCATCCTCGATGATTTCCCGGGCGTAAATTTGTTCCGGATGTTGCTCTACAAAAGTATATTTCACAACGGGGAATAATTTTTTTTTTTTTATTTTGTTGTCTTCCTCTTCTTCTTCTTCTTTTTCTTGTGTCTTTAATATTTCGTTCATTTTTAGTTTACTTTTGTTCGGTCATTTTAAACAAGCATCTTATCGTAGAAATTGATAATGAGATTAATGAGATTATTTTCCAACAATTTTGTATCATGCTAATTGATTATTATTATGATAAGTTTTAATGTTTGATATAGACATTTTTCTTTTCTCTATAAATTAATTTTTTACCAAATTTATTTCTATTATTATTTATTATTATTTTTATTAGTTTGTTTTTTCGTCAAGATTCAAAACTTTTCAACCCCTTTTCAACATTGTACGTTTAAATTACTATTTAATGTTTATTCTTACATATTGTGTTTTCAAATTGTTTACTTGATTTAATAGTTTAATATTATATAAAATTTATTTATTATTATTTTTATTATTATTTTTATTAGTTTGTTTTTTCGTCGAAGTACAAAACTATTCAACCCTACTACTCAACACACACATTGTACGTTTAAATTATTATTTAATTTTTATTCTTACATATTATTTTTTTAAATTGTTTATTTGAAATTTCTTTTCTTTTCTTTATAAATTTATTTTTTATCAAATTTATTTATTATTATTATTATTATTATTTTTATTAGTTTGTTTTTTCGTCAAGGTTCAAAACTTTTCCACCCCTTTTTAACATAGTACGTTCAAATTATTATTTAATAATTATTTTCTTACATATTGTGTTTTCAAATTGTTTATTTAATTTAAGTATTTAATATTATATAATATTTATTTATTATTATTTTTATTAGTTTGTTTTTTTTGTCAAGGTTCAAAACTTTTCAACCCCTTTTTAACATTGTACGTTCAAATTATTATTTAATAATTATTTTCTTATTTATTGTGTTTTAAAATTGTTTATTTGAAATTTATTTATTCTTATTTTCATTATAGAATATATAATTTTTAATAGTTTAATCGAGATAGATATAAATTTAGATAATTTATTGAATATTTTCTTTAAATTCCACATATACACACAATACATGTATTAAATTAAAACATGAACTGAATTAATTGAATATTATTAAACGAACGAACTTAAGCCGTAAAATAATATACTAAATATATATAATATAATATAATATTAATATATTTATATTATAATAATGTCTATATACAATAATTAATTAAGATCGATTATTTAAATAGGTTTTATTTTATTTTATTTTTTTCTAATATCTATCGCGTGAAATAAAATCAAAATGAAAATGTTTTCATTTTGTAATTTTTTTTAACTTAAAGAACGATCTATATAATAATAATAATAATAGTATATATTATTATATATTTCTTATTTTTATAAATGTTCGCAGTATATAATAGGTACATAAGTATGATAATATATCTAACAATATCGAAGTCAATCACGATAATCTCGATAATCGTCCTATTTGGTTTTTTTTTCTTTTTTTTTCATTTAAAATATTAAAATTATTGTAAAAAAAATTCAATTATATTTTAAATACAGTGCATTTTACATCGAACAATATTTTTTTCATATGCATAAGATTTTTCTTTTTCTTTTAATTATTTTATAAATATATTCTCATAAATTGACAATTATACATTTTTAATAATAAATTTTTATAAATATTTACCACAATTACGAAAAAAAAAACGAGTATAACTTTCGAAATAATAATTGGAACGTATTATTTGAATTTCGATGAAAAAAATAAAAAAATAAAAAAATCCCTAATGACAATTTACGTATTATCGCGATTAACTGCGAACTATAATTAATATTTTTCCTTTTATTTATTTTTGTCTTTTTTTTCTTATTTTAAAAAAATTGTTCGAAACATACGAAAATGATTTGTTCATTAATTTAGTTTTTTTTCTTTTGGTTTTTTCTTTTTTTCGAAACGATCGTTCGTTGTTCTCTATTCTAAGTTTTCTCTTCTTTTTTTTTTTTTTTTTTTAAATAAATATAAATAAAATCAAGTATAACTATTATTGATAAAACAACGCCATCATATATCGTTGATTCGAACGAACAATATTACACGAAAAAAAAAAAATATATATATTTTCGCGTGTTCTTTCGAGTCCACGATGAATTTTTGTATTTCAGTCTAATTCTAACGAAAAAAAAAAAAAAAATAAAAAAAAATATATATATATATATATATACTAAAACGTTCGACGATTTTTTCTCTCTTTGAAAGTTCTTTGTTTCTGTTTTTTTTTTTAATTAAGATCACAAAGATCTAAGACGATGAACAAAAAACAAAAAGAAACCTTTGCGAAAGATAAAATCGTCGAGATGATGAGGAATATCTTCGCGTATCGAGTGAGATTTCATCCAATGATGAGATGATATTACGAATCTTCTACGTTTAGGTTTACACGATTTTAACACAATTCAAACTTTCGTTGAACATTCGATCGAAACTATCGTTTGAAATTTTTTAATTGTTTTTTTTTTCTTTTTATTTTTTTTCAATTGAAGAAACAATATTTTTCCTTCCGCTTCTTCTTCGTTTTTTTTTTTTTTTTTTTTTGTTTTCTTTTTCTCTTTAATGCAATTTTTTTTATTTTTATTTTTTTTAATTTTTTTTTTTGGGTGTTTAAAACAATGTTTTGTTCATGCCACCNCGAATCTTCTACGTTTAGGTTTACACGATTTTAACACAATTCAAACTTTCGTTGAACATTCGATCGAAACTATCGTTTGAAATTTTTTAATTGTTCTTTTTTTTTTTTTTATTAAATTCGATAAGAACAATTATTAATTTAATTTCTTTTTTTTTGTTCAATCTTATTCGAATTGTTTTCTTTTTCTCTTTAATGCAATTTTTTTTATTTTTATTTTTTTTAATTTTTTTTTTTGGGTGTTTAAAACAATGTTTTGTTCATGCCACCTTTTTCTATGTATTTTCTTTTTCTATTTTTTATGAAATAAATTTCGAAAGGTATCTGCGAAAGTTTAAATTGCGTTTTTTATGGGAAATTTGTTTGTTCATGCGACATTACAATCCATGAAAAGAGTTCTGCAATCTTCTCCCATACGACCACGTCGTCCAGCATCATAAAGTGCCTCGAATCCAACACCACTTTGCCTTTGCAACATGTAACTTGTTGCATACCTAAATATACAAAACAAACAATGATTATTTTTTATTATTTTGGAAAAAGAAATTTGAGTAAGAACATTTGTTATTGATCATTAAACAAACGTACGATCCTAATTGACAGAAAATCGTTGATGTGCCTTGTGCATCAGCAGCACATTCGGCACTGGCTTCGCAAAGGGCTCTTTCGGCACAACCTTGTTGACCTTCGTCCTCGGCTCTACCAATATTACTGAAAGCTTTTACCGATCTTACGTATCCCTACGAAAATAAAATGAAAAGAAAAATTATTTATTGATTAAAAAAAATGATTTTGTTTTAAGAACAAGAAACACAAACGTGACTGAAAACAAAAAGTAAAGTTTGTTTAATTAAACAATTTATTTAACGATTATTAATAATTAATATTCTTTAAAATTGATTTTTATTAATTATTTATATAATAAAGAACAAAAAAAATTAGTTATATGCCTGTAGATTTTTAATAATTATTTATAAAATAAAAAAACAAAATAAATAGTTTTATACGCCTGTAGACAGGCAACCCTTTATACATCGTCGTTAATTCTGCTGACAAATGCCATCTATCGGAAAGAATAGAGTAATATTGTATACATAAAGTAAAATTTAAAAAAATTTCTAATGAATAGATGGCGTTATAATTATATTGAATGATAATGTAATAAATGTTACTTATATAATAAAAAAAATAATAAAAATAATTATACGCCTGTAGATAGGCAACCCTTTACACTTCGTAGTTAATTCTGCTGACAAATGCCATCTATCGGAAAGAATAGATTGCATTAAAGTAAAATTTGAAAAAATTTTCTTATCAATAGATGGCGTTAATATGTATATTAAAAGATAATGTATGAAGTGTTGCCTTTATTTAGGCGCAATACATATAATTTTTGTTTCAATAATTACAAAATATATTAAAAGATAATGTATGTAGTGTTGCCTTTATTTAGGCGCAATAAATATCATTTTTATTTAAATAATTTAAAATTATGCTTATATATATAAAAAAAAAATCCTAATAAACTAATAATATTAGTTGAAACGATTTAATTACTATCAAATCTAATTATGGATATTTTATTTAGAAAGTAAAAAATAAAAATAAAAAAAATATTTCTTTGAGTTTCGAAACCTGTCAAATCATCCATCACTTTTTATATTATACTAAATTTTAATTAACATCGATGACTTTGATATATTCAATTATTCTTGAATCATGACTCATTATAATTGCATAAATATAAAAATACGATCTATGAAATAGAATGTTTATAATATAATTATGTTAAATAAATAATAAAAGTTAAATGAAACTTACTTTAAGCATACTGATTGATGCCATTGCTGCTTCAGAAACGCTGTCATGTCTGCCAAGAGAACGTGCTGATAAAGAACGATGTGAGAAGGATGTTTTCAATGCTTCCAACAGGTTCATGACTATGCTGATGAACTGTATGATAAGAAAGCATAAAATTGTAGCATACTTTTTTTTTGACTCTTATTCTTGCTCGTCGTTCCACATAATAAATAATTGAATAGAATAGAATAGAATAAAATAGAACACAGTATAGAAAAGAAAAGTAAACAAAGAATGAAAGAAAAAATGAGAATAAGAAAATCATGTTAGTTTAGAAAGTAGAAAAATAGGTTGACACATGATTTCCGTCTCGTCATGAACATTAAGTGATTTTCCATTTTTATTATTTTTTTAACAATATTTATATTAATAATTTATTTTCCTTTTTTTTTTTTTATATAACGAAACGAAAATCAATTTGATATACAAATGAACTAAACAAAAAAAAGTAAATTAGTAGATACGAATATTTATATATATATATATGTATATATGTATAAAAAAAAAAGGTAAAGAAAATTGTTAATAACGAAAAGCTTAACAATAATAATTCGTTAATAATTACTTAGCATAAAGAAATTTTCTACATTTTGGTTAAACTAGTAAATTGTCTCTTTTTTTTAAATGTTTTTTGTTGTTGTTCATAATCGTACTAACCTCAGAAGCATTTTTAGCCATGACAGCAACCTGATTTGGGTCTCTGCCCTGTCCTAGAAACGCGCCCAACACCGCAGTCAAAATCTCCTAAACAACCGACACCAGCCGTGTGCGCTAAGTCGAAATTTTGAATTTTATTTACAAGAAAGGGGGATTATGCCAAATAGCACATATCTTTTTTCATGAATCACGTTACGCATCGTTATTTCATTTATCATTATAATTATTATAATTTATTATTATAATTTTTTGTTAATTTATCATTAAAATCATGAAATAATATAAATTTGAAACGAAATTCTGACCAAAAAAAAATCATATAAAAATTATTTAATATAAACAAGTCTCATATAATATTTAATATTAATTATTTGAAATACTTAATAAATTTATTTATAATATATAATTTCAATATAATATTAATTATTTATATAAATAATATTTAATATGTATACAGGGTTTTAATATAAAAAAAAATATTTATATATTTAATTAATATATAATTTTGAACTGACACATTGGTATAACGTGTTCTATTTACTGTATAAATATTAAATAAATTTTTAATTAATAGATTTTTTTTTTAATTATTGTAAACCCTATATAAGTCAAACTTTCTCCATGACAATGAATATAATTATAATTAAAAAAAATATATTGTCAAAGAATGTTGTTTTCGTAACGTTAAAAAGAAACTTCATATTTCGTGATTACAATTAAATCGTTCAGTAAACGTGAAGATCGTTAACGACATTTTTTCAGCCGTAAAAAGAAATAAAATACAGAAAGAGACAAAATGATCGAAAGGACATATAACTGTCTTAGAATTTGTTTAAATAAAACAATGGAAGAAGTTGCTCATTAAACTGACCAGTCTGAGCAGTCAAATGAATGTCTCGTTAGAAACCATAATCGTCTTGTACATTTTACGATTTCTCATTCAAAACAAGAAAGTTTAAACGAAAAGTATTTCAAGAACATTCGTTCGACTTTCTAAAAAAAAAAAGATATTTAAATATTTATAAAATAATAATAATAATAATAATAATAATAATAATAATAATAATAATCAAGAGATATAATTAACCAACGATAGAATACAATGCGTAACGTAAATAAATAAGCAAAGGAATTTTTGTAATTTTTGCATGATATGCTAATTAGGTGCATAAAATTACATTTTTCGTCTTGTAAGTGCACGTTGTGAATATAGAAAATAGGGTGGGGGTGCTACTACTTAGGTGGTCTTGCAATTATAATAGTTTCAAATATAAAACAATTATATAACATGTATAGCAATTAACTACTAACTATTGTTAACAAGCTCATTTTGTTGTTTTGTACAAAATTAATAAATTTATATAAATATATTATAATAATAATCATATATAAATTTATTAGATTTTATTATATATATATATTAAAAAAAAAAAAATAATAAATAAGTTTCTATACTTTAATGTACAGTATTAAAAAAATTTGTTTGATATAATCTGGACGATTTTAATGACCTTATCGAATACCTGCATGGGACTGCTTTGATTATCGACTTTGTCGATACCATCAACGGGTTGTTGTGGACCACCTAAAAGTGCAGTAAGTACTCGTAGACCAACTGAGAGAAGATTTGCCCATGGACTTGCTGGTACACCATCATCTATGTCATTTTTACTTGGTCCAGTTATTCCACCTGTCTGACCCAGAAGCATTTGCATGAACATTCCTAACATGTTAGACCAAGAGAAACCACTGCTGCTTCCTTCCTGAATTAACACACACATACACAAATATTTTCAATTTTATTTCATTTGATTTTTCTCAATGGTTATATAGAAATTTAAATCCATTTGCATCAATATGTTATTATCATCATTTTTATTCTATTTTAATTTTATGTACTTTTTGATAATTATAATTGAAATATTATTCATTATTTTTATTATTATTTTCTGAAAATAAGAAGATTAGAAAGAAAAGAATAGAAATATTATTAATTAATAATTTTTTATTAATAATTCTATCTTGGTTACTCTAAAAGTTTTCGTATTTTCTTTTTTAATGTAATAAATAGGAATCGAATAAATTAAATATATATATAAATTAAGTACTTAATTAAAAACTAGTTCTCTGTGGCTCGGTGTTAGGGTCCCCGATTCGTATCAGCGATATCGCGGGTTCGAATCCTGTCAGTCGCGAAAAAATAGAATAAATATATATACTTTAAATATATAAGTTAATACAAATAAAAATTCTCACATAATTTTTTAATATATAAAATTAATTATTTAAAGATATATATATATATATATATATATATATATATATATATATAAGTGTTATAATAATAAAAAATATATAATTTAAATTATAATTAATAAATTACTAAATATACACAAATTAAAAATATATATACATATGAGTTTTTAAAATAAATACGAAAACCATAAGAATTTCCAACTTTTGATCTATGTCAATTGCATTAAATTGCATTAATGATGCAAATGGTAAAAAAATGCATTATTAATTGCGAGGCTAACTGTTTTCCAAGGAAAGCTTCGACTTGTTATTCGACTAACTTGAATCTGATTGGTACTGATGTCCTCAAGATCATCAATTGCAACTTTCTTCATAGCGTTAGGTTTCTCAGCAAATTTCCTTTCATCTCTCACTTGTTGCTGATACTGTTGAGGATATTGCTGAGTGTATTGGGGATGTTGTGGCAATGCAGCAGCTTGTCCAATGACAAGACCCACCAAGCATAACGCCACACGTTGATTGAAAGTCATCCTGTAACACACATATACATATATCAATAGTAATTAATCAACGTGCTGGGTTTGTTAATTAATCATCGAATGTATTCCGTTAGCGTAAATTATGGATTATTATTCTAATACTCATCAAATCTATCATATTTGATAAATTGATGAAAAATTAAATGATAAAATGATTTGATAAAATTATAATTGTATAATATGAATATTTTTTTAAATATATAGGGTGTCATAACAAATGTGTACTTTTTATAAAATTTTTTTTTTTAATATTGTTTATATTATAATTAGAATATTATGAAGTTTTGAATAAATTTGTAGAAAGTATTTTGAAATATAAAATGATAAAATTGTTCAACGAATGTTCAAAACTTTTAACGAGAGTATTATTAATATTTAGTATAAAATAAAGTTATATTTTTAAAAGTTGAAGTTTTAAATATTAATTTAATTATAATAATTTAATATAAATCTAAATTATAATTTAAAGTTTTATTTTATTATTAAAGTTAACTTTTTTTATTTAAAAGTTATATGATATACAAATATTTGTATGATCGATCGTAGAATTGTATTAAATTATTTATATTAATGATGGTTCAGATTTAAATCAACTTTTCTAGAAAATATTCATTAAACAAATAACAATATTATTTAATTTTAATTTTTTTATGAACGTATATATTCATTTGTTGATTTAAATACAAATAGAATGCAATGTTAGTTCGTTTATTGTTTATTTATTTATTAATAATTTTTTTCTTATATATCATTTCAATTTTAATTAATTTTTAAATGTATTCAAAATATAATCAATCAATGTGAAACTCGAACGAATGATAAATTATTCCTTTCTAATTAAATACTTCGATGAAAGCTTGATTTATGATTACAAATAATAAAAAATAAAGAACGAGAACAAGAAATAAAATTTGAAACACAAAAATTAAATAGTAAGATTAATCGGAAAGAAAGTATTATTCTTTTATATGAAATGATCTAATTCACATAATCTATCGTACTTTCTCTATCATTAATTAAATATCACGAAGAATTTTCCTTTTCTCGTGTAAATTTGCACAATATATTGATTTTTTTATAAAATAATAACGTTAGAAAACAAAACAATTTCATACATTCTGTAATACAAATGTACCCCCCCCCCCTTTTTATTATAATATATTCCCTATAAAATTAATATACTTTAAAATATAATATACTTTAGAAAAATATAAAAAAAAAAAAAATTAATTAAACCTAATTTACAATCCTAAAATTAACAAATAAAAAAAATAAACAAAAAGCTACTGTTATTAAACTATCAAAGAAAAAATAATACAAATTTGTATAAAAATTTGTAAAAAATTTCTACCCCCCCCCCAATTTTTCACAAACGATCGAATATTATTTTTAATAGTAAATTTTTATAGTAAAACGTACAATGAATATTATTACAAATGTGTAAAAAATTAAAAAAAAAATCTAAGACCAATTAACATCCCTCTTCTTCTAATTAAACAAAAAAAAACATAAATAATAAATTATTATTATATTTATTTCTGAACAAAACTTTATTGTATCTACTACTCAAAGAAAAATTGTATGAAATAATTTATAAAACAAGTATAATATATTAATTTTGAATAAAACGTATTTATAAGCTTTCGTTAGTGTGTTTGTGGATATGTTTGTGTTAGGAACAGTTGTATAGATGCTTGGAAAGTGTGTCATGGCGGTTAAGGTCGGTTCGATAAACGAGCAACATGATTGCTCGTTAGCCCACTTCTCGATATCGATGTTGGTTTGTTGAACTCGGTTTGTACCGTTAGTTTGAAAAGGCGGTCGTGACCTACTATCCTCTTCCTCGTCGTTCAGTAAAACGTAAGAAGAAAAAAATGTCTACTAAGGATAAGACACGTTTTAAGAAAAAATAATCAAATAAAAAAATAAACAAAAGAAAAAAAAGAAAAAGAGAAAGAGAAACGTTTAATCATTTATCACATATCAATCATTCTTCTTTTTAAAAACTAATATTCAATGTTTATTTCAAATAAAACAATAGAAAGTGAAATCTTTATTGAATTTAAATAAATAAAAAAATAATATATATATATATATATATATATGTATGTATAGAAGTGGCCCATAAATTAATACATATTATCAATTATTTATTTAATTATCAATTATTATATATTTATTTTATTAATTTTAAAGTAGTATCTGTATTTTGAAATTTTATTTATTTCCAATTGAAAATTATTCAAGTATTTTTACAAGGTAATATTTTTAAAAACAAAGTTACTTATATGGTTTTTTTTTATATTACCTAAATTTATAATAATAATAATAATAATAATTATTATTATATTAATTCATATTTTTGTGTGCATAATCTGTGTATATAAATATTGTATCGTCAATTGTTAAAAACATTGAATAAATAAATGAATTATTAAAGAGAAGATATATTTATATAAATTTATTATTAGATAAATAAATAATGAAATATTATCTTCTCTGTATCTATTTGATAAAGTATGATTAATTATAATGATTCCCTTTGTCAAATGAACTCAATATTGCGTGACACGATTGTCACGGTTTACATTTGTTAGGATTGTTAGGTTAGGATCGTCATCGATGCAAATATAGTTCGATCATTATGCACTGATAAACGTAATAAAAAGATTAAACAAAAAGTAATTATATACCAATTTATTCGATTAAATGTAATTGATATTGAATTACGATTAAATTTAAATTCAAAATAATAAAATAATAATGATGATAATAATAATGATTCGTTAGACTTCATTTTGTAAAGGTGAAAATTTGATTATGGTGTATTAGCATTCGTTGATTTGTTAAAGAAAAAAAGAAAAAAAGAAGAAAAAAAAGACAGAAGATGGTGTGAAGAAAACGAGTCTCGTTGTCGACAAGTTGTCATCCATCTTTTTTGAAAAACGGTACATACTCGTTCTAATGGAAAAATTGCAAACAAGTTTCTAACTGTAACCCTAACGCTTACAAGGAATTTTCTATCTGTACTCTCTCGTCCTTTTAACCGTGTCAAATTCTTCGTCTAACTGTTAGACCACTTATCACGTCATTTTTTTATTTGTATTTTTATACAGTTTCCTATATTTTTTTTTTTTTTTTCAATACATCGTTTTTGTTTTTATTTATTTTACTAACATACAAGAAAAGTAAGTTCAATTTTAATAATGTATAAACATATCAATTAATTTGAAATGATTTATAAAAAAAAAATTAGTAATTTTTTTTTTTTAATAAATAAATTATGATACAATTGGAAGAAATAAGTAAATTATTTTGTAATATTATTATTGTTATTAATTATGTATTAATATTTTTGAATTTATTCTAAAAACTAGTCATTTTCGTTTAAATAAACAAATTTTATTCTACAATTGGAAAGAATAARTAAATTATATTTTAATATTATTATTATTATTATGTATTATTTATTATTATTTTTGAATTTATTTAAAAAAGCTAGTAATTTTCGTTGAAATAAACAAATTTTACTCTACAATTGGAAAGAATAACTAAATTATATTTTAATATTTGTTTGTTTCTTTGTTCCTTTAATTTTCGTAATTATAACATGTTAATTTTTGATTGGTTAAAGAAATTAATTATTCGATACAGTAAATCCCATCCATTCTTATTTACAATTAAACAAACTTGAAGTTACACATTTCTTGATTTTATAGTTTTAACCGTAAAACATTTTGATTTATTGTACTAATAAGTTAAATGATTAAGAATGAAATGAATGAGTTTCATTTAAAAATCAAAAGTAAGTAAAATAATTGAATCATTTAATGTTTGATTAGTAAAATAATTAAATTATTAAATATTTACTAACAATAAGTTTTAAAAAACTGTATAATTTCAATTTAAAAAAATTATCATTATAATTAAAACAAAAATAAAGTAAAATTTAATATCAAAAAAGAATATTAATCTTCTTCTTAATAATAACCAATTGTTAATGCATTTTACATAAATAGAAAAAAATTAATTATTAAATATTCTAAAAGTTATAAATAAAATTCCAATATTATCTCAACATTTAACATATCATTAAGAACAAACAATTTTAACAAAATTATTTTTAAAAAACCGAAAGAAATTAAATAAATAACTTCCAATCATTGTTTTAACAAAATTACGATGATTGTATTTTATTATTGTTTATTTAAAAAAAAATTTTTTTTTTTTAAATCAAATGAAGTTAGTCTCAGAAGAGAATTGATAAAATGTTTATGAATTGTTTCTTTTTCTACTCACTTCATTATTTCCAGGTAGCCTTTCCTTGACACTGACTTTCAGTTCTGAAGATGAAATTCCTTGCGGGGTCTTCTATATAGCTTGCGGATGCAACGTGGGGGGAAAACCGTTTGGCCAATGATCACTCGGCTTTGATTCTATTTTCAATGGAACTGGCCTATCCACGATCATCATCCTAAGTTCCACATATATAAAATATATATTTTTTAAATGATTTGTAGATGACACATACACTCATCCATGTGTTGTTTTTGCTTTCTATTTTGTTAGTTTATATTTAACACATTTGTAATATTTTTCAATCAATTAGAATATTTTTATTAATGTTTTTCTTTTTTTTTTTGTAAAATCAATACTTATCATCAATGATTAATAAATATTAAAAATATATAATTATGATATTTATGTGTGTATATGTGTGTAAATTTTTACCATAGAATATTTCAAAGTTCAAAGAAGATTTGATATCAAAATTGAATGTGTACCGTTTGAAATCAATCACTAATTGTAAGTTTTATCATTTTTGAATTAAATTGATGAGGAAGATCTCATATAACTGGTTTAACGTTCTGCAATTTATTTAAACATTTTTATCATTGTTATTTCCGCCGATCGTACGAAGCTGGATGCATATGCATATAAGTGTATGTGGATGTTTGAGCTCATTCTAGAAGGTAACAAGTTGCAAACGTGTTATTAATATTAAATAGTTTGTACTTTTCGGACTTGGAAAGTATGACGCGAGAAAATCGTGTTAAATCAATTTAAATGAATAATTGTTTTATTTTATTTTGTTGTTTGAATTGTTAGATCGATTAAATGTAATTATTTAAATTATTTTTTTTTGAATGAAACAATGTTTTTAAAATTTAATCAGATTTAATTAAATTAAAATATATTACTATATATATTTTATAATATTAAATTATGTATATATTAAATTAAATGTTAATTAATTATTCTTTTAAAATAAACAATAATTAAAACAAATAATTATTAGATATAATTTCAATGCTAAATAATTTGAGTAAATAATTATTAAAATAAATATTTATTAAATATAATTTTAATATTAAATAATTAAAATAAATAATATTATGCACGTGAAACTTTATATTATAAATTAYTTATTTATTTTAATTATAAGATAAATTTTAAGTAGCTGTAATTTTGTTACAAAAAAAAAATACCTAATATCTATATTAATAAATAATAAAATAAAAAATAAAACTAAAAGATTCTTATTACAGAAAATATTTTTAGTTTTTGTAATATCGATAAGAAACATTCCACCCTTTAATTATTTATACGCATACCACACTATACTTAATTAGTTTGATCCCGTTCGTTGAGTAAGAGGAAGATGTTCTACATAAAATATTATATTTAATAAAATGTATTATTATTTTTATAAAAACCAAATTATTTAAATACTAAACATAATACAAGAAAAATAATGTTAATCAACAGCAGTGTAAAATATTCTTTCGAAGTGTTTTTATTCATTGTAATTATTTTGTAATTATTTTTTATAGACAATTGAATTTGTACAATATTCATTTTATAGGGCAAAAATGCAAAACCATTGACATCCGTTTCTTTTAATAAATTAGAAGAGAAACCGCAAATGACTTTGAAAATGCGAGTAAGAGGTTAATAATAATTTCAAATCTATTAACCTGGACACGGATATTACAACCATGGAATGCGATAACAACTACATTTTAAACGGACAATGAAAATAAAATCATAAATAAACCATAAAAGATGATATTAAAGATAATATATATTTTAAAGATAAATTATTCGATTGTAACATGCATAATATATTATATTTAATATTATTTTACTAACTGAAAACGTAAATCAGTCATTTACCATTCATTTTATTTTATTTTATTAATATTTTCTAGTAAATATATTTTTTTAGAATAATTATAATACTTATATATACAAAATATTAAATTTATTTTAATTATAAGATATTAATATAATTTAAAATATTAAATTAATTTAAATACAATATTAATTTAATTAAACATGTTAATTTAAAATTAAATGTTTTATATTTTTAATTAATTAATTTCTAAATAAAATTAAAATATAATTTTCTAAAATATGATTAAAGTATTTAATTTTTCTTATTCTTTTTATTTTTTTATTTTTTTTTTTTTAATTTAAATTGTATATAAAAGTAAAAATTACTTTACATCTAAAAATAAGATAGAAATAATTCTTTGTGTTTTTTCTTTTTATTTTTTTTTTTGTATAATCTGATATAAAATTATTGTAATTAAATTAATTAAATCAAAATAAAGAACATGAAATAGGATTATTAAAAAAAAAAAAAAAATAATAATAATAATAATAAAAATATTCAATTAAATGATTTCTTTTCTCTTTCTGAAATCTATACGTTCTACTAACCTAACCTATCTTATTTTATATAAATTCATTTTTTGTGGAACCATCTAGAAAGTCGTTCAAACGAATTGATGACGCACGCGAGGATACCTCTCCTCATACGTAGCAAAGTTTACCAAGAAGATTCAACTACCAACAACAACAATAACAATAACAATAAAACAACAACAACAACAACACCATCGTACTTTCTCATATCGATCTTTGTCATTGTCCTTTTCACGATCGATGATCCACTTATTCATCAATCCTATTTGTTTACTTTTTTCTTATATTCGTTATAAATAAAATAATTATCGTAATTATTATGAATATATTATATAATATAAATAAATAATTATAATAATTATCATGAATTTATAGAAATTAAGATGAATTTAATTGACAATGAAATTATTGACATAAAGATGAATTTAGTTGACAATGAAATTATAAAAGAAAAAAAGAAAATTATAAAAAACAAAATAAAAAAAATAAAAAATAAAAGCAAAAAAATATAGATAACATAAAATATAAAAAAATATAGAAAAAAAGAAACAAAATTGTGACGAAGAATTTTAGCAAAATTTTAACGATCGACAAATACCATTAACTAGGATATGTGTGTTTCCTTGTAATATTCATTCGATTTGGAATTTTTCACGGTCTAATGCTTTTACGATTTTATTTATTTATGTATTTTTTTTTTTTT